AAGTTAAACATGACAGATATAGGTGTAGCCCCCACATTCAGCTCCCTCATCCCATCTCCCACTACCCCACAGAGACAAACCACCATCCTGACATATGAAATCACTGGACAACATGTTTTTCTGGTAACATTAGATTTGTGAGATCTGCGTGGCAACTTCTGTTGTTCAAGTTCATTTGTTCAGCACATGATGTTCTTCTGTAGATCCCACAACTTAAGCTATGCCCTCACTTCTGTGGGCAGACATTTAGTTTATTTCCATTTTAAACATTTTACTAATAATGCTAACAAATATTTTTTACCTCGTGTGCACATAGGCAAGCTCTCAGAGTATATGCCTAAGAAAGGGGATACTAGGTAATGAGAATTACTAGAATCTTCCACCGCAGAGGATCCTGCCCAGTGCTGTCTGAAGTGGCTGGAACAGCTCACTGCCTACCACTATGTCCCCCACACCCGCGTCACTACTTAACAACTTTTGACATTTTTGCCAATTTGATGGGCATGATAGAGACATTTCATCTAATTTCGTATTTCCTACTTACTAGGCAGGCAGAATTGCAGTAGTGTATTAATTAGCCATTTGTGATTCCTCTTTAGCGAATTCATATTCTTTGCCCGTGTTCTAATGAAAACTGATGGTTTTTGATTTATGCAGAGCAAGAGCCTGTGGCTTTCTTTTCATTTTGTTTGTGGCTAACTTTTTGTTGAATCAACATTCCAAAGAAATTCTTCTCTATTCTCTGGTCACAACAATGTTTCCCCTTGATTTTTTTCTAAAAGTTGTAAGTATTGCTCTTCATGCTTAAGTTTTTATTTTACCTAAAATGTTCTTTTAGGGAAGTCCAGACTCTTCCCTGGAATGGAAAACAAATTTTGGGCTTACTGTTCAGTCATCTCATTCCTCCTGCACCACTATTGTCCTTGGTCTCTTATATTTTGGTATCAACTTAATCAGTATCATTTTTAAAAAATGATACAATTGAAGAAATGCGCTGAATTTGTACATTAATCTGGGGAAACTGCCATCTTTAAGTAGTTAAGTCTTCCTGTGGATGAACACAGTGTCTCTTTCAATCTCTTCAAGAATTCTGTGTCCCTTAGCATCCTGGATGTTCCCCCATAGTCTTCCACTTTTTTTTAAGGCTTATTCTTAGTACCTCGTAAGTTTATGTTTTTATTGCATATGAATTCTCTTTCCAGTTTATTTTCTGGTTAGATTGAAAGTAGTAGCAACTGTGGTATTTAAGACTAATTATTTAAACCAGCTTGCTTGATACAGATCACTTTCTACACCAATCTCCAAACAGTGTCTACACGGACCGAGCAAGCTTGATGAACTCGCTAGTTCTTTTTTTTTTTT